ATCTTGGTGGTTAACGTGATGGGAGCCGGGTTAGAATTCAATTAATTCTCCGACTCGAGAACGATTCTTGTTGCCAAGCATGAGCACACTTTCAGAAATCGGAATCATACTCTCGGAACTAAAGCATTTAAACAACTTTCTCACCCGTCGTCGGAGCTTTTAGATTCCTTCTCGTCGACCTCCGTCTCAGGTTTCCGAAGAGGATCATCTGCCAACTGTTTGACGATATTAACCATTTTCTCGATCGGCGCAATCACCACTTTCTGCGTGTCCGAACCTTAGTGGACTATGCTGCGCAGTATGGGGGAATATTCACAACTACATGTGTCGGTGACAATATGAAAATTCTTAGGAAATTTTGGGAAATTCTTCTTACACTTGAGTTCATGTGTATATTCTTGAGGAAACTCCTGATGAAAGCGAGTATACACTCACTGAAAACCATTGCTCCCAAACCCAGCAAGATGATAATCAGAGTAGTTTGCAACATCGACATTTTGGCTTCTTCTTGTTGACCTTTGCGGTCGAGAAACTTCGCATAAACGATCAGGTCTGCGCACGGCGACTCGGGATCTCTACACATCGGTGGAATATAACTAACACACGTAAACTTCAAAATACTGTCAACTCTCAAAAGATAAAACAAATAGAAGGGAGGAATACCACCAAGTATGTCTCCAAATTGACCAGAAAAGTGCGAGAGTCCATATGATTACAGCCCAACAGGTTCAAAAAATCCTCAAACTGACGAGCCCGAACATGATAAAGAATTGAAGATTCAAACAACTCGCTTTCACCTCTGATTTAATACTACATGTGATTCGATAATCACACCGGATAAATGACTCCATATCACGTAAAACATGATATGTGTTTTACGCGTTATTCGCAAAGTGAATTGCTGTGTTTCTCATATCACTAGGGTGAAACTCCAATAGTCTTATGCTATGATATAATACTAAAAATACAACTATACAGCAATTGAACAATAGAGTTTCGCCCGTGATATGAAAAACAGTAGTGAAAAACATATTTCACGACTACTACATACCGCAAATATCGCGTTTTTCACCGAGTTTTACGCCACTTCACGTAAAACGGGTGAAACTCCAATATATTGTAATTCCTATTTAAAAGACACTTTTCGCTCACCTAATTTCTCTGATCTCTGAGTCCCTCCACGGGCAGTCTTCACTTCCGACTTCGATACCACCAAACCCACACGTGGTATGAGCTCGCCAACAACAACATGGAGTTTTCACGCCGATACCTCGAAGACACCAAGGTTCGAACCCTGCACCTGCTGCCATTTCCACCGACAACATGTTTCAAATCCACCAGGAAGACCATTGCGAGGAATTTTAAAATCGAGATTGTATGTATTAGCCGTCGAAGGATGACAACGCGTCGTCTCAACGTATCTGAGATTAACGGCAATCTGGTCAGTGTTGGAGTAGGAATATATGTTTGCTTTCCTCAGCTACTGAGCTCAGGAGTGAACACAGTGTTGGAGTAGGAATATATGTTTGCTTTCCTCGGCTACTGAGCTCAGGAGTGAACACAGTGTTGGAGTAGGAATATATGTTCGCTTTCCTCAGCTGAGCTCAGGAGTGAACACAGTGTTGGAGTAGGAATATATGTTTGCTTTCCTCAGCTGAGCTCAGGAGTGAACACAGTGTTGGAGTAGGAATATATGTTCGCTTTCCTCAGCTAAGCTCAGGAGTTTCCTCGTTAGTTATAGAAATTCCGGTGGGAGTGTGCGGAAACCAATGGGAATTTTCCCAAATACCTCAGAAACTTCATTCGATTTACACGAGTTGATAGCTAATATCATATTCCCCTACCCTAGTATTGTCTATACATAATTTTCCACTCTCCCGAGTTACGTTATGCCGCGGATTCTCCCAGGGGGGTCCGCTTCCAAGTCGGGGATTTCCAACCATAACAATGGTTGGTTCACCAGAGCATCCTTTCCCTCACTCGATCGGGACAACTGTGAGTATCTTCATCGATCGAGATCCAATAAAAATGTAAAAAAATCCAAATTAAAATTATTGCTAATCAATGGAATCCAATAAAAATATATTCTAATTGTGTGCCGAAATTGAACTTCTGAAAATTTCGCAAAAAAAACTTTTTCCAAAATGACGATAACCACTGCTCGGACCACCGCAATACAAATTAACGATATGCTAATGAATTGATATACTTCTTATACATCGATATGCGAGTACCTTCATAAATCGAGGCATTGAAATGTTATGCCAGTCTATTGAAGTTTCACAACCCGTTTTACGTGAAGTGGCGTATCGGTGAAAAACGCGATATTCGCGGCCTGTAGTAGTCGTAAAATATGCTTTTCATTAGTGTTTTTCATATCACTAGGGTGGTGAAACTCCATTCCGAGTAGTGAATAACGCGTAAAACACGTGAAATTTGGTGATCTCTCAGGTACAATTCGAAATAAGTGTCTTCACTTCACTTTATATCGTGAAGCATTACGCCACTTTACGTAAAACGGGTAAAACTATGTGACATGTACTATTTATACATACACATGTTAGAAACTCTTTCACTTACTCATAAATCAAAAATTTCCAACCATCGAGGGTAAAATGAGCGTTCGCAAGGGAACTGTTACAACTAGTCGTGGTATTGCCTTGCGCTTGGAGAATGAAATCAGTTGCTGATCCTGAGGGCGGAGTACAGTGGAGTTTCACCCGTGATATGAAATACACTAGTGAAAAACATGTTTCACCTTTCACTTCACGAAAAACGAGTAAAACAAGTGATGTGCTCTGTGAGATCCGTCCGGTGTAGTTTGCAAAATATTTTTAATTCACTTTCGAGGGTGTTCAAATTTTCATATAAAATTGTCACTGACCACTGCTCACCACAAACACTCCTGCCAGCCCAAAAGAGCTGTTCCAAGCCGGCCTCAAAAGCTAAATTAGTATCTTCTAATTCGATCAAGGGCAACACCAACATCATCGAAAGTACCTGATGATGTACATAATATATCAAGTCTCTATCTCGTATCACATATAATGGGTGTACATACATATACTATAACGATTGTATGCTTATTTGTATACTATATAATCGCCTGGTTATGTATAAACTATATAATCGTCCGGTTATATGTATACTATATAATCGTCCGGTTATATGTATACTATATAATCGTCCGGTTATATGTATACTATTTAATCGTCCGATTATATGTACACTATATAACCGGTCGTTTATATATACACTAACGATTTGCTCGGTCGGAGTTCTTACCCCTATAATAACCCTCCGTATGGTTTGCTCACTCAGAATCTTCCCGAGCCTGCTAGCTTCGATACGCTCACTTTGAACCACCTCGACCGGAGCCACCTTAGAAGACAGCAGCATAACCACGTTCGGTGTGGCAGCTTGATATGCAATTTGATTTTCTATTCCGGGATTAATGATAGTGAACAACTTATCCCTATCATAGTCTCGAAGGGTTACTTTTATCACAGCACATGTTCATAGCAATGTTTACATTGTTCATGCGATATAGTTTCATATCGATACTCATTTCTTTGGAAAGCACAAAGTGCCGGAGGGAACAATGCTCGTACTTCCTCCTGACTGTCTGTATTGTTTATTTCATTTCTACAAGTTGGTACCCTTGAA